TGGGAAAAATTTGGGGCTGGAAGGGGTTGATGAGAGAAAGAGGAAAAGAAGAAGAAGAAGAAGAAGAAGAAGAAGAAGAAGAAGAAGGAGGAAAGAAAAAGAAAATAAAAAATAAAGAGGGAGAAAGGAGAGAGAAGAGAGAGAGAGAGTGCAAAGAAGAGATTGGAAAAGGTCTGGATTTTGATGGCTGGTATAAAATGAGCGAAAGAGGAAAAGAAGAAGAAGAAGAAGAAAAAGAAGAAGAAGAAGGAGAAGGAAAAGAAAAAGGGAAATAAAAAAGGAAAAGGAGGAGGAGAGAAAGAGAGAGAGAGGAGGTTTGATATTTGGAGGGAAGAAGAAAAAAAAGAAAAAGTGCGTTGAAAAGAAGCGAAAGAAAAAGAAGAAGAAAAGAAGAAGAAGAAGAAGAAGAAAAGAAGAAGAAGGAGGAAAGAAAAAGGCGATAAAAACAGAGAGGGAGGAGGAGTGAGAGAAAGAGAGAGAGAAAAAATTTGGTGTTTTGGGGTCTGGATTTTTGGGAGAGAAAAAGGTTGATGAGAAAAAGGAAAAGAAGAAATAAGAAAGAAGAAGAAGAAGAAGAAAAAGAAAAGAAGAAGAAGGAGGAAAGAAAAAGAGGAAGAAAACAGAGAAAAGGAGGAGAGAGAGAGAGAGGAGAAGGTTTAGAAATTTGGTGTGAAGGGTCTGGATTTTTGGGGCTGAAAAAGTTGATGAGCGAAAGAGGAGAAAGAAAAGAAGAAAAAAAAGAAAGAAGAAGAAGAAGAAGGAGGGAAGAGAAAAGTGATAAAAAAAGAGAGGGGAGGAGGAGAAAGAGAGAGAGAGAGGAAGGTTTGCCAAAAGGTGGGAAGAAAAGATTTTTGGGGGCTGGAACGTTGATGAGCGAAAGAAAAAAGAAAAAGAAGAAGAAGAAAAGAAGAAGAAGAAGAAGAAGAAGGAGGAGGAGGAAAAGGAACAAAAGAAGAGAGGGAGGAGAGAGAGAAAGACAGTGTGCAGTTTTGCGATTTGGTAAATCCCCACTGGATTTTGGAAAGAGTGCAGAAATTCTAAAAAGGAAAAAGAAAAAAAGGAAAAGACAGAGAGGGAGGAGGAGAAGAAAAGTTATATGGGAAAGAGGGAAGAAGATAAAAAAGGAACAAAAAAAGAGAAAGGAGAGGGGAGAGAAAAGAGAGACAGAGTTATATTCAAGATGGAAGGGAATAAGAAAGGGAAAAAAGGAATAAAGACAGAGAGAGAGGGGAGAGAGAGAGGTGAGAGATAAAAAGAGGGAAGAAGAAGAAGAACAAAGAAGAAGGAAAAAAAGGAATTGAAAGACAGAGAGGAGGGAGAGAGAGAGAGGAGGAGAAAGAGAGAGAGAGACAAGTGATTTGGTGTGTTGGGGGTCTGGATTTTTCAGAAGCTGAATTCAATGAGGAAAAAAGGAAAGAAAAAGAAGAAGAAGAACGGAGAAATTAAAAAAGAAGAAAAAAAAATAAGTCGAGTTTTAGAGAGGGAATAGGGGAGGAAAATCTAGAGAGAGAGAGTGCAGGTTAAAGGATTTGCTGTGTTTGGGGTCTGATTTTTGAGGCAAACAAGGGGGAAGAAGAAAAAGGAGAAGAAGAAGAAGAAGAAGTTTAAAAAGGCGACAAAGACAGAGAAGAGAAAAAGGAGATAGACAAAGATTGAGACAGGAGAAACGTTTTGGTCAGAGAAGATATTGACAATGTATTTTGAGTTATACGTCAAGAAGAAGAAGAAGGAAAAAGAAAAAAAAGGACAAAGACAAAGAAAGGGGAGAGAGAGAGGGTGAAAGTTATATGGGGAGAAAAAGAAGAAGAAGAAATCAGGCAAAAATGGGGATAAAGACAGAGAGGAGAATTGGGGAGAGAGAGAGGGTGAAAGAACAATTTACAAGAGGGAAGAAAGAAGAAGAAGAAGAAGAAGGAAAAACAAAGGCGACAAAGACAGAAAGAGAGGGGGAGGAAAGAGAGAGAGATATTTACATAAGTAAAGAGGGAAGAAGAAGAAGAAGAAGAAGAAGAAAGGAGGAGGAAGAAAGAAATACAGATAGAGCCATAGAGAAAGAGAGAGGGTGTAGAGTTATATTTCAATAGGGAAGAAGAAAAGAAGAATGTTGAAATAAAGAGGACAAAGACAGAGAAGAGAAAGACAGGATAGAGGGATAAGAAGAGAAAGAAATTTTTGACAAGTGACACAAAGACATACAATTTTGAGAATCAAGCAAGAGGGATAGAAAAGAAGAAAAAAGGGGAAAACAAAAGGCGAAAAGACAGAGAGGGAGAGGGAGAGGAGAGGAGATATTAGAGAAGGAAGAAAAAAAAAGGATAAACAAAGGACAAAACAGAGAGGGGAGAGGGAGTTTGTAAGATACGGAAGAGGGGAAGAAGAAGATTGAAAAAATTGTAATGTCCAAAGGCGACAAAGACAGAGAGGGAGAGGGAGAGAGAGTGAGATACGGCAAGAGGGAAGAAGAAGAAGAAAAAGAAGGAAAAACAAAGGCGACAAAGACAGAGAGGGAGGGGGAGAGAGAGAGAGAGTTGGTTTAAAAAGAGGGAAGAAGAAAGTTTTGAAGAAGAAGAAGAAATCAGACCTTTACAAAGACTGAGAGGGTCCTTTTTCATCAGAGAGAGAGATGTGGAGTCAAAAAGGGCTGGAAAGTAAACAGAAGTTAGATAGAATGGGAGGAGGAATTTTTATAGGAGGATTAAAATAAACTAAATTAAATTGTTAGTGCCTAAGACAGAAAAGAGGGAACTAATTATAAAGGAAAAAGTTCCTATTAGGAAGAGGAAAAAAAAGGAAGAAGGAGAGAGGAGGAAGGTCAAGGTAGAGAATAAGATTCAGAAAGACAGAGAGAGAGAGGGGAAGAGAGGAGGGGGGAATTTTAGAGGAGGAGGAAGAAGAAGGAAGAGGAGGAGGATAATGGAGGAGGTAGAGAATAAGAGGACAGAAAGACAGAGAGAAAGAGAGGGAGAGGGAGGAGGGGGAAAAAGGAAAAGGGAGGAGGAAAGAAGAAGGAAGAGGAAGAGGAGGGGAATAGGTAGAGAATAAAAGTTAAGAGGAGAAAAAGAGAGAGAGGGACAGGGAGGTAGACCCTCAAAATGAAAGGAAGAGGATGAGGGAAGAAGAAGGAAGAGGAGGAGGAAGGGAGGATATAGAGAAAACATTCAGAAAGACAGAAGAAGGGTGAGGAGGAGGGGGGAAAAAAAAAGGAAGAGGGAGGAAAGAAGAAGGAAGAGAATGAGGAGGAGGAAAAGGAGGAAGAGGAAAGTTCAAAAAAAAAAAGAAAGACAGAGAAAGAAAGGGAGAAAAAAAGGAATATGCTTTTTTCTTCTTCTTAAAATTAAGAAGGGTTGAGGAGGAGGAAGGGGAGGAGGGAGAGAATAATGTTCAAAAAGACAGAAGGAGAGAGAGAAAGCGAGGAGGAGGGGAAAAGGGAAGAAAAACTAAGGAAGAAGAAGGAAGAGGAGGAGGAAGGGGAGGAGGTAGAGAATAAGAGTTCAGAAAGACAGAGAGAGAGAGGGCGAGGAGGAGGGGGAAAAAAGGAAGAGGAGGAGGAAGAAGAAGGAAGAGGAGGAGGAGGAGAAAAAAAGAAGAAATTAATTGAAACAACGGTTTAAAAAATGCGAAAAAGGCAAAAATTGTTAATTTAAAAAAAAGAGAGACAGAGATGGAGAGAGAGAGAGATGAATTTTTTTCTAGAAGAAGGAAGAAGAGGAGGAGAAACGATTGGAAGGCCTTCTAGGGTTTTTGGTTTAAAAAAACAGGAATCAAAGGCAAAACAAAGAAAAAACGAAAAGAGAGAATCTTAAAAGATGGGAGGAGGAAGGAGAAGAAGAAGGAAGAAGAGGGAGGAGAAACGATTATGAAACCCAACTGAACAACGGTTTAAAAAAATGAATCAAAGGAAAAAGAAAAAAAAAAAAATCTTAAAGGAAGAGAGGGGAAGGAAGAGAAGAAGAAGGAAGAGGAGGAGGAGAAACGATTGGAGCGCCCAACTGAACAACGGTTTAAAAAAATGCGACAAAGGCAAAACAAAGAAAAAAAAACGAAAAAGAGAGAGAGAGAGAGAGATGGGGAGGAGGATGAGAAGAAGAAGGAAGAGGAGGAGAAACGATTGGAGCGCCCAACTGAACAACGGTTTAAAAAATGCGACAAAGGCAAAACAAAGACAAAACAAATGAGAGAGAGAGAGAGAGAGAGGGACAGAGAGAGGGGAACAGAGAGAGGGGGAGACAGGTAATTCATAATTAATTATTTCCTTCTTTCTTTCTTTTTTCTTTCGGATCGATGATATTCCTCCTTTCTTTATTTCTTTCTTTCTTTCTTTTTTTTATTGTCCGTCTGTCTATTACGTTATTTCTTTCTTTCTTTTTTCTTTCTTTCTTTCTTTCTTTCTTTCTTTCTTTCCCACAATCAATCTATCTATCTATCTATCTATCTATCTATTATCTTATCTATCTATCTATCTATCTATCTATCAAGGTCCTTTTTATTTCATCTTCAATATATATATATATCTATATATATATATATATATATATATTATTCTTTGAGTATTATCTTTCTTCTTTTCTTTCTTTAATTTTTTAAAATATCTATCTATCTATCTATCTATCTATCCAAAATTCGTTCTTTCCCTTCTATTAAATCTATTTGTTTTCTTCTTCTTTTTTTTTTCTTTCTTTTGAAAAATGGTATCTATCTATTTTCTAACATTTATCTATCTATTCATCTATCTATCCCTTATGTTTATTTTAAGAAAAAAATCTTTTCTTTTAGTTCTTTCTTTTTTTTTTTTTTTATTTTTTTTTTGAAAAATATTCATCTATCTATCTATCTGTCTTCGATTTCCTTTGTCTTCTCTTGTCTATCTCGGTTTCTCTCTTTATTTTCCATCTCTCTAATTCCCCCAGGACTTTTATCAAAGACTCACTTACCTCTCTATCTTTCTCTCATCTATCTATATATCTATCTATTATATTCCATAGTTTTTTCTTTTTTTTTTTGAGAGAGAGAGAGAGAGAGCGAGAGAGTGGGAATGATGGGTATTTTTAATTCTTTTTCTTTGGAATTCTTTTCTTTTTCTTTCTTTCTATCTTTTTTTCTTCGAGAGTGAAGGGTGTTGGGAGGTGGGAGGCGGGTAGCTGGAGGAGAGAAGACAGGTTTCAGGAAGGGTTTGAAGATGTGGCGGAACAAAATGAAAAGACGGAACAAAAATAGATAGATTTTTTTAAAATATGATAGATCAGATAGATAGATGAAATTATTATATGGGAAAAAAGAAAGAAAGAAAAGAAAGGATTTGAGAAAGAAAGAAAGAAAAGAAAGAAAGATAGATGTTTTATAGATAGATAAAATAGATAGATATGAAAAAGAAAATGTAAGATAGAAATAGATAGATTTCCTGATAGATAGATACGATAGAAACCAAAATGAAAGAAAGAAAAAAAGAAAGAAAGAAAGAAAGAAAGAAAGATAGATAGATAGATAGATAGATAAATAGATAGATAGATGAATGAGAAAGGATAGATAGATAGATAGATATTTAGATAGATAGATAGATAGAAAAAAGTTTTAAAGAAATTGATTGGGAAAGAAAGAAATTAAGATTCATAAAGAAAGGAAAGATAGACAAAAGATAAATGACAATAGATAGATAGAAGAAATTAAAAATAAAAGAAAGATAAAAAGTAAATTGAAAAGAAAGAAAATTATTTAATTGAAAAGAAAGTAAGATAGATAGAAAGATAGATAGAAAGATAGATAGAAAGATAGTTTTACTAAATAAAAAGGTGCCCCGGAAAGAAAGAAAGAAAGAAAAAAAAGATAAGTTAGATAGAATCATTGTAAAATTAGAATAGATTGCAATATATATATTTATATATATATATATATATATATTTAGATGACATATATATTAGGCGGAATGTATAGATATAAAAATGTCATTCATATAAATTCATAAGGAATAAAAAATATATGGCGATATATATGTATAAATATATATAAATATATATGATCTGTTTCACACACACATATATATATATATATATATATATATTTATATATATATATATGTCAAGTTTCTGAATCACACATATATATATATATATATATATATATATAATTTCTTTTAACACACATATATATATAAATATTCATATATATATTTATATATATATATATATATTATATTATATACATATATATATATATATATATATATATATATCTATATATATATATATATATTTTATATAGATATATTTATATATATATATATATATATATATATATGCATCCGTTTTCACACACACATTTATATATAGATATATATCCTTCTTTCTTTTCATTTAAACACACATATATATATATATATATATATATATATTATATTTAAATTAGATGTTTATATGCGTATATCTAAAGCTATATATCTGTTGCCCTTTCTTTCATTCTTTCTTTGTATCCTTTCTTTTAATCTATCTATCTATCTATCTATCTATTTCTTGCTTTCTTTCTTTTCTTTCTATCTATCTATCTATCTATCTATCTATTTCTTTTTGCTTCTTTCTTTCCATTCTTTCTTATATAAGTCTATTCTATTTCTTGTTTCTCCATTATCTTTCTTTTCTTTCTATCTATCTATCTATCTATTTTTCTTTTCTTTCTATTTCTTTCTATCTATCTATCTATCTATTTCTTGCTTTCTTTCTTTTTTCTTTCTATCTATCTATCTATCTATCTATCTATTTCTTGCTTTCTTTCTTTTTATAAAAATCTATCTATCTATCTATCTATTATCTATTTCTTGGGATGTATATTTCTTTCTTTTATTCATTCATTCTATCTATTTTTTATTTCTTGCTTTTTTTTTTTCATCTATTCATTCATCTATCTATTTATTTCTTGCTTTCGTTCTTTTTTTCTTCTATCTATTATCTATATATCTATCTATTTATTTATTTTTCTATCTATAAATTCATCTATCTATTTCTTGCTTTTGTTTTTTTTCTTTCTATCTATCTATATATCTATCTATCTATTTATCTATCTATCTATCTATTTTTTTCTATTATATTTCATTCTATCTATCTTTCATTTTATCTATCTATCTATCTATCATCATTCATCTATCTATTTAATATTTATTTCGGAATTCCTTCTTTTTTTAAAAAAACACTCGAAGGCAAATGGTGTGGTTTCTAATTTTAGTAGGCACGTGTTGCTTTATTCTAGGGTCTAAGCGCTGAGTCGTTCTCCCTATATAGTCGGCTCCGCAACTACAAACGTATTTGTAAAAGCAATTGAATATATATGTTGGGGAGGGGGGGACGTCTTTACACGCAGATCGAAAACATGGGCCGAGTTTTGAAAAAATAACCCCGAACTTCAGCAGAGAAAAAGCAGCAACGAACCTTTGATGGAATTTGTTTGGCCATTTTTTTTTCGTCACACTTTGTTCCAATCCAGGGTAATCTAAGGTAAACAGGGCATTTTTTTTTTTTGACAGTGTAGAGATCGGCACTTCTGAACTCTTCAACTTTACTCCGGATAACTGAATTAACAGTATCAAAAGATAACCCTAATTCCATAGGGTACCCTTAATAAAGTTAATTTCAACGTTCAGGAAGGGCTCAGAGCAAATCTTTAATGCTCTGTGGAGGAGGGTTTTTTGATAATGTTGATCTTGCTCTTAAAGAGTCCCAACGCGTGTATAACCCTGCAAAAGTAAGAAAACCTGTTACCGTACGATGTACTGATACCCCCCAAAAAGCCAATTGATAATTAGACCCCCTTTTTCAATAGTGAACCTTAGTGCCGGATGGATACCATTTAAAGACGAAAGAAACTGGTCAGCCTCAACTTCACCGTTAAATAAACAAAACGATGTCGTCCACATACCGATAGTACCCCAAATTCACCGCTAAATAAACAAAACGATGTCGTCCACATACCGATAGTACCCCAACTTCACCGCTAAATAAACAAAACGATGTCGTCCACATACCGATAGTACCCCAAATTCACCGCTAAATAAACAAAACGATGTCGTCCACATACCGATAGTACCCCAACTTCACCGCTAAATAAACAAAACGATGTCGTCCACATACCGATAGTACCCCAAATTCACCGCTAAATAAACAAAACGATGTCGTCCACATACCGATAGTACCCCAACTTCACCGCTAAATAAACAAAACGATGTCGTCCACATACAATAGTACCCCAACTTCACCGTTAAATAAACAAAACGATGTCGTCCACATACCGATAGTACAGTTGAGGACAAAGTGGATTCTTTCGTATCTTTTCTTCCTGGAAGCCAACAAATATGTTAGCAAGTGCCGGGCCCAAAGGCGAGCCCATAGCGACCCCATCGATCTGTCGGTACATAGTGTTGTTGAAACTGAATCCATTCAACGGGGGACGTTGCAAATCTCATCAATCCCCGAAAAAATTGACCCAGGAAAACTAGGTGGAGTTAATGAACTGCGATAGAGATCGTCGCAACAAATATCGATGGTTTCCATCAAAGGGACACAAGTATACAAGGAAGAAACATCAAAAGAGCACAAAAACTTACCGGAAGAAGATAATTTTCGTACGCGGTCAACAAAGGAAAAGGAAAACCTTGATACAAAAACCATCCAGGCACTGTAACACAGGATCCAAAAGTGTGGAGAGCCATTGGGCTATCTTGTGTTTGGCTGACCCGATCATGGACAAAATCGGTCGAAACGGTACACCCTCCTTATGGATTTTCGGGAGACCATATAATCGGGGACGAATCGAACCGGAAGGACGGATTTCGTTGGCAGTTTCCTTTGAGAGTAACCCTGATTTTACCATCTTTAAAAGTGATTTTTGAAATTTCGCTTTCACACGAAGGAGGTTCCATCAGGGGTGTCAGCAGAACCAAGTCTAGTAAATTTTGAAGGGTCTTCTAAGATAGAAGACATTTTGGTTATATAGTCTGCTCGGTCCGAAATAACTACACCGGCACCTTTATCAGGTCTGGAAATAATCAAATTCCTCAGAGCGTTAACAACACGCTGATGTTCTGCTTTCCATTTGGATTCGGCGGTGGCGACCGAGGAGCAGGAAAAGGTGTGAGCGAAATTCTTCAACTGGGCTTTCAAATTAGTAACCGCGTCGACAGAGTTGGGAGAGAGTCTTGCCAACTGAGCATAGAAAACCTCGAACTCGCAAAAAATAAAAAAAAAAAATCTTCTCCTTGTCCGGCAAAGAGGGGGGGGGAATGGAGAAGTCCAACCCGTGAGAAGGAACAAACGATTCTAACTCTGTTATTTCATGCGTGGACAGATTAATAATATTATTCGAATTAGGTTCAGAAGTGACTCCGTATTTCTTCTGGACCAAACTATTCAACATGGCATCTTGCTTTGTAGATAATTTAACACCCTGCCCTTGATGGACCAGTCCCCCCCCCCACAAAAAAACCTGGAGGACCTAATCCAATTCCCAAAAATAAAACTGAATTCATATGCGTCCATAATAATCTCCTGTAATCACGCTTAAGGCACAGGCTTCTAGAAGAAAGATGTTTAATCCGATCTTTTTATAAAGACCGACTCAATATTCCAACTAGGGTGTAACTTAGCCCTCCTCACTCTGAACTAGAAGGAAAGAGGGGGGCAAACCAGAAAGCGGATAAATGGCGGAAGAACTTTAATTCCATATTCAACAGTTCCCAATTTCGCCTTAATCTGTAATAGTTGATTTAATTGACGAATGAAATTCGGGTTGTACCTGATTTTAAGATATTTAAAGGTATTTTTGTAGGTACAAAATTTAATGATCGAAATAAAAGTATAAAATTTAATATTACCAGACATATTAAAACAGTATTAAATAATAATAATAATAATAATAATAATAAACACAAAACATGGGGGGGGGGGAAGCAACCGGTTTCGCGCCCGCTCGTCAGGCTTCCACAGGAGATTGAAAATTAAAACAGAGAAATGTACAAGAAAAA